AAAATAAATAAAATATATAAAAATAAAAATATAAAAATAAAAATATACAGAGTTGACTCATCTTTGACTCCAAAAGAGAACATAATTTATGAAATGAATGTAATGTTTTAAATATGACTTAAACAAAGGCACTGAGCCCATGAACTCCTCAGCAAAGGTAATCCCTTTGTTATGCGTCTTTTCACAGATCCCCCTGCAGGATAAAGGCGCTATTGCATCAGCTTCGCTTTCTCTATGTATCTCTACATCAGAGACAATCAGAGCTTTTCTGCAGGTCAAAGGGGGCAATGCTGATTTGATTTCAAGTATTTTGTGTTTGCTGCTATTTGAAGGAACTGAACATGATATTTGTTTCATTTGTATCAATCCTCACTTTAAGTTTAGCGCCTAATCTGTTTACACAGCACTGCACAAAAACATCCAAGAAACCTGACCTGCCCAATGAGTCGAGGTCCACTTTAGTATAGGACAGATAGGCATCATACTCCTTATTATCTGTGGAGAGAGACAGAGAGAGCATGGGACAGTAAATAAGAGTATTTGGAAGATTTGACAAATCAATCAACAAGGCTTCCCCGTCTTTCTGTGAGTACAGTGCTTCATACAGTATATATATGTTAGCAGTTTCTGTGTAATTATTGCACTAAAAGACAGCAGACAGCTCCTGATCATCAATACATGTAGATTTGATGAGAAAACCGTAATTCATGTTTTGGACTTGTGAATGCATGGCTAAGAAAATCCAGCTGCTTTAGGACCTAAACTTGAAATCAATACTTTAAATCAATACTACAAACTCACATCTTTATAATTTTCCTTTTGGCCGTTTCGCTGTTTTGTTCGGGGAGTGATCTTGCATTGCTTTGTCAGTGTAACTTTTTAAAAGTGCTGCACAAGTAGCTCCTTATTCCATCAATAGATGAAAAAAAGAAAAACACATTTTCATTTACTCTGCTGTTGTTTCTATTAATTGCCTTCTTTGACTTCACTACAGGCTTGTGCATCTTATGTGCTGTACAGTGTTGTACTGTGAGACTCATCCTGCAGTCTGTGTTATGCTATGTGTAGAAGCCCTACAGGAAAATCCTACTTCAATAGCATAATTCCTTTGCTTTACTTTGTTTCATTCGCAGCAACAGTCTAACTCTTATTTTGCTCCATGTTTGTAGTTCTCTGATCTTCCTATCAATGCTGATACCGCTCAGCGCTCTGATACCTGTCTGACCCCTTCTGCAGTGTGCTGAAGAAAAAGGGAGCGCTCAAAATAGCTTACCATCTTCAGTTTCATCACTCCCAAAGTGTCTCCTGTAGCAGAGCATGATCTCCAGGTTGTAACATTTATAAAGTGCGGTTAGGACTCCCAGCAGCAGCAATATGACCCCGAGGCCTCCAGCTAACTCCAGACGGTACATATCTGCCAGAGATACACAGCAACAAATTTATATCAGTGATCAGTCTGCTTGGAGGAATACTAACTGATGTAAGAACAAAATC